TGGAAGAAATATTCCCTCAGCATGATTTTTGATAAATAAAATTTAGAGAAGAAATGTGTAATTTTATTAATGCTTCGAGCACTTGCTGAAGTGTATTCCACTTAACCGACATTGTTTGGTTTTAAACATCTTATGTATTAACTTATATTGAATGTAAATTATATCAGCTAAAAATCTGCAATGTCTATATCTTGGTAGGCTTAAGACTTGCACAAGAAGTTACAATTTTGAAAAAAGAGAGGCTACTATTTTGATATATATTTCCTTAGAATAGTTCAATGGAACCTACTTATTAGGGTCTATTTTGTATCATGGGTTATTCATAAAATCCATTTTTCACCTGTTCTTTACACTATCCAAAATACCATAATAAATTATTCACACAATGGTATAAAAATGATTCAATACATAAAATTATACAGGATTTCTTTATAATGTTTAGATAGGGAGAATTAGTGTAGTTAAAGTGGTATTAAGATATGTATACTGTATGACTCTTGTGATGCTAGATGTTTGCTTTTCATTCATAATTATGTTCACAAATTTGAAATCTTTCCATGTTTATAAACTTAATTACTGTATTTTTCAGTTGTTATACTCGCCAGTAGAGAACATCCAGCGCGTTGCCGCCGGTGTCCTGTGCGAGTTGGCCTCTGACAAGGAAGGTGCTGAGCTCATTGAGCAGGAAGGAGCCACCGCACCCCTGACAGAACTTCTCCACTCCAGAAACGAAGGTGTGGCCACATACGCTGCGGCAGTTCTGTTCAGGATGTCCGAAGACAAACCCCAGGACTATAAGAAAAGATTGTCCTGTAAGAATGACGGTTCACTCTTCAGAGGTGACCAAACATGGCATGGGTGAATGTAATAATTACACATATATGAAAAGGGCAAGAATGGTCTTCAGACTCTTGGATAATTTTTTTTAAAGTTAATAAATATGTTTTTAGAAGTTTAATGATCATCATTAGAACAAAAAATCATCAAAGAAAGAATAAGGGGCTTACAATTTCTTAAACTTAAACTGAACCATGTAAATCCAATTTCCTCGTATCTTTTATGATTCCTATAGAAAATAGTATCAACTTAGAAAAGTAAAAGATTTCAAGTATAAAATAATACATGGAACAGATCTAACACTAGTGTTTTATTATTGAAAAGAAGTTTCAATTTTATGTTTGTTTTTGTTTACAGCCCCCAGGATTTGACGATGTTGGTGGTTTCGGACAAGATGAATATCGTCCCAATGATCAGATGTACAACCCAGGTAGTCAACAAAACATGAGCGGGTCTCAGCATGACATGAGTCGAGGTATGTAATTTAATTATAACTATTTGTCCAATGTTTAATGCTATTACTTGAAGGAATGCTAGGGAAGTGGGTTCAAACCCAACCTGATCCATGGGCAAAAACACTTGACACTCATTGCTTAGTACTGGTTGTTTAAGATACAGTAAATGTGGTTATTTAATAACAACCATTAATCCATTAGTCAACGCCAGTACTCAACACCATAACTCAAAGGAAAGCTAGGGAAGATGGTTTAAACCCCACCTGAGGGCAAGAGGTTATTTCCTTGGGCAAAAAACTTGACACTCATTGCTTAGTTTCGTTGTGTCCAGAAACAGAAAATGACATTAGAGTGCGACTAAAAGCTTCTAGCTTCCTACACAATTGGCATTTAAAGTGTTGAAAATTGAGTACTGCTCAAGCCAGGGGCTAGGGGGTGTGAGGGATGTTGCACACTTTCATTATCACTGCTGTACTGACTCCCATCAAACCGAGTCAGCAATTTTCATGTAATTTTATTGTGATTAATGCTTTCGAGGGATTACCCTTTCTTCAGATTTTTAGATAAATTGTGCAAAAACAAATATCATCATTTTCAATATTCAGCAAGAGTGCTTATGAATTTAATTATTGTTGGTTTTGCTGGTTAGTAAATTATTCAAAAAATTGAATTTTTACATACCAATTAAAATATAAATGGATTGTCTTGATAATTGTAAAAATAATGTAACTTTGGTGTTAATAAGAAAATGACACTGTACCTTTTGGAGGTTGATATTATTATAGAGTTTTACTGACTGTAGAAAATGATATTTTGGTACTATGTAAAAGAAAATGATGCTTGCTGTGTTGAAAAGGGTATTTGCTGTATATTTATGTTCCAACATTTTGTTTTAGATATTCATGTTTAACACTGTTTTAGATATTTATGTTAACATTTCTTCTTCTTTCAGGTTATGACAGTCAGTTGCCAATAGATTCAATGCAGGGTTTAGATTTAGGCAGCCAGGGTAGCAACCAGTATGGCCCTATGGACAACCTAGACATTGGACCCCATGGTGATCTCAGTTTCGGAAACATGGACAACAGTGGTATGCCCCCACAAGGTCAGGGAGACAACCCTGGCGGGCTTCCCCAAACCTGGTTTGATACCGATTTGTAAGGGGAGATAAATTGTGACCCATTATCAGTGATCTATATTCTAATGACTTTAATCAGCATGGAAAAAAACAGTCAGTTAAAGGGAGACAATTTAACCAGTGAACTTGTGTGGATATTAAAGGGCGGTCTACAGAACAACACCAAATATCTTCAAAAGATCTGTAAGACATCAGTGACTGAATGAACTGTACAAAATGCTTGGATCTTTTTAAACATATGTGTAAAGATTTTTCTTTTAACTTTTAAAATTTTTAGAACATAATTTAGATTTCTTTGTGTTTTGTACTATATATAATGCAGTCAAGATAGGGTGAATCTTTGAAAGAAAGGGAGAAGATAGGAGTATAAAAAACAACTACATAATCGGATATTGGATAATTAATTTTCTTGTGTCCTCATTGACGAAATATCGCACATCTTTTGGTGGTACAATAACACACACTGCCGTTATATGGATTACTGTTAAATCATTTTCATTTGATAGCCTAAATTCAATTTTCATGAATGAATTTACTGAATTGTTCAGCAGAACTGATGGACAAAGTATTGAAGAATTTTGAAAATTTCACACATTTAATTCAATGAAAATCAACAAAAAAGGAATTGAGGAGTAAAATTATTTTGGTAAAAGATTGAAAAATTGTAACAACATTCTGTGGTTTAAAAAGCTATTGAATATTAGATCATTAAATACACAGGGAAACTTCAGGACTTTTTTCTTCACTATTTAATTGGCTAATCAATGCATTTAAACTTTTCTTCATCTTTTTTTTGTACATAAGATTTGTTGTCTTGATGGCAAATTTGTATATGGGAGCAATGTATATCGTCAAATCTTACAAAATTATATAACCCCCCCTATTCATCATTAGCAAAAAGTGGCAAAATTTGATACATAAAAAATTGTATGTCATTTTTAAGTCAGATCCTTGTGAAAATAATCTAGGTACCAGATGTGTATTTTAGTCTTTACTAGAAATATTTATGATTTTTCATATGTATATGCCACTGTTTTAACGTGCAAGATATTGGTATTAATAGTTTTGTATTTTGAAGATATGAACATATTTTTCAATCAAACGTTTATTTCAATCAAGAGGACTTGTTCGATTAACATATTTTTTTTGTGAAAACGGACATATTTTTTGTATGAATCAAATGTAAATATTTATCTAAGAATTTTTTTAAATTGCATTTATTTCATGCAAGGAATGAAATTACTTTTGCATGCTCTCTTCCGTTTGGAGAGTGGAAGTTGTATATACATAGTAGAGATTTTTTTCATACAGCATGCACAGGTAATCAGTCTGTTTTAAGATTTTCACTAAAAAATATTTGGGTGTTTTGGTCTATGTTGCAGGTAAATTTTGACAAGAATATATGTTCATATCTTCAACATGGAAATGAAAATCAAAGAAAACCCATGTCATTATTATAATTTGAATTATTATCATAATATTTACATTTAGTCATACACAGTAAAACTGTGTTTTTTTGTCTAACTTTATATATTTTTGACACATCTTTTTTTTTTAAAGAATTGAACAAAACACTAAACTATTTTTTATAAAATTGCCTTTAAATATTATAGTACTATGTATGTATGTATATAAATATATATTTCTGTATCACTGTTATTTTTATGTCAACTGTTTCACCTAACTGCGCCTTGATAGAGTATTCAGAACAGATTTAAACAAAACCATAATCAGGTTATAAACGCAAAAAATTATACATTACCATTTTTTTTAGCATATTTTCTTAACAATCAGGCAAATTTAACATTTGTTTCGGAAAGAAATTCAAAAATTTTTCAATCCCAAAACCAACCCTCGCAATTTGCACCATTTTTTCATCTTGTAGATTTTTGTTCCATGGTCATTTATAAGATATTTATCCTGGCATATTTTCTCCATAGATCTGACCACACCGCCCCCCATTTTTAAATCCAGATTTTATATCATTTTATCATTCAGTGTATTATTTGTACATAATTTTACTGTAGTAATAAACAAAAGTAGACAAGTTTTTATCTTTTATTTAGTTCATTCTGTCTGCCGTATTTATGTTATGGAAATAGAGAATTGGGAAATTAACGATTATTTAATAATATAGTCTAATGTTTGCATGTTAAAAATTCTAAAAACCATTAACAGTAAAATCATCTTGGCTAATATTGAAACTAAATCATTCCATCAATCGTATATTTGTTGAAAATAAAGGTTGTACATGCCATTTTATATATGTTTTACTTTGTACAGTGCATGGAAATTTTACAAATTTTGTTTCACAATTTTTTTCTCAGTTCTCTGCAAACTTTCTTACTTCATAATTTTTGTTCATTTCTCCTCTTTTGGATAAATATTTGGAAAAAAATAGTGCATTCAAGAGTAGAAAACGTGCTATATCATATGATTTTATGTAAAACAAGTCTTTATTATTAAATGTGAATTAAAAATATCAAAAAATGATTTCATTCTCTTTGTTTTTCTATTTTACAAAACTGCAAAGCCACTCGTGAATCCGATTTTGGTAACCATGGATATTTAAAATCTAAGGAAAAGCATAGCACATATTTGCTCTTGCTCTTATGAAACTTGTAAGATTAGAATCTTCCTAAATGTCCCATGTAAATCCATAAAAAAGGATTTTTTCTGTTTACCACAATGCATGTATATCTGATGCATTGAGAAAACTATTTCTGAATATAGTTTCTTAAAACTAGTTTCTAATAAAGTAAAAAGTCAAAATGAATAAATACTATAAGTAAAAATACTTCTGAGTATTAGAACTTAAAAATATTTCACTTTCTGACCAACTTTGTCTAAATCAGAGGGCTTATATGATTCCCTTAAACAAGTTAGCTTATTTGAGCAGGGATACTCCTGGTTACAAAGTTGTTTTTTTGTCCTTGCACGTTATTAAGGGAGATATAGTTTTCTACTGTATGAGCATGATATTTTATATTTTAAAAAAGCCAGTTATATTTTTATAAATTCATGATTTGAGCCACGTCAAGACAAAACCAACATAATGGGTTTGCGACCAGCATGGATCCAGACCAGCCTGCGCATCCACACAGTCTGATCAGGATCCATGCTGTTCGCTATCAATTTCTCTACTTGTTTATAGGGTTTGTAAGCGAACAGCATGGATCCTGATCAGACTGCGCGGATGCGCAGGCTGGTCTGGATCCATGCTGGTCGCAAACCCATTATGTTGGTTTTGTCGTGACGCGGCTCATTTTATAATCATTTCGTTTAAGACGGTATGTCTAGTCTTAATTTTGTGTTTATTGTAACATTCAGGACTTGTGTTGAAAGTTTTGTTTGCTGTACATTCATTCAGTGTATGACAATAATTTTCTTAGTTAGCTAATCAGCAATTTCTGTCTTTATTTTTATATATGAACTGTAGTCATAAATTTCTTCTGGAATAATAAAAAAGAAATGAATTTTGTACTTTGTCACTTTAAATTAAAATACTGGCCGTCACGATAGCCAATCCTTATATTGAAATTCAACCAAACCTAACGACCTTCCCTTGGGTTAAATTATTATATCAAAACACTCTTAATTTCAACTGTTTGGAATTATAGAATACTAAATTTGATGCTCTAGTAAAGGGCAGCATATAGGTTTTGAACAGTGCTTTGCCTGTCTGTCTGTCTCGAGCCATAATTTTGTGATTGAATGGGTTTTGAAATGTGTAGCGCTTTGAGACGCGATGTTTGGATGCAAGATTCAGCCTCAGGTTACTCTTAAAAATGTAAGGAACGGAGTCGTGATATGAATTTTTCATAAAAGTGCATTGATGGTCAATACACGATGGCTTTAAACATTTCGGATATAAGTGTTGCAGATGACTGTCACACTCGAGAAAGAAGTCTCCACTTCAAAGGTCATGGTCACACTTTTACGTCCATAGCCCTATGTAAATGTATGATTGTGAATAGATAGCAGTGTCCTGTCTTTCCATGACTTTGTCACTCATTGGTGGTCTTGAAATATTTTGAATAAATGTTTGGCACATTGAGCTGATGTGTCTCATGTGCAAAACCAAGATTTGTAGCCCAAAGGTCAAGGTAACACTTAACATGAAATTGTCTAGAGGCATTATGTATGTTCACAACGACCAGCTCTTGTTATTAAGTAATACTTTTGTCACGGTTCAGAACTGTTCACTATTTAGGGGAGAGGATGTGTAAGCGGCCGGATAGCTCAGTCGGTAGAGCCGCGGTACGGTATTCCGAGGGTCCCGTTTTCGAGTCCCGGTCAGGTTGCACATTTTTCTCACCCTGTGACATTTGGCGCCCAACGGGGGACCGTGATTGATATAGCTCAGAGTTTAATTTACATTGCTCTGTAACTCTGTGAAATTCGAGGACGAATTTCAATATAGCAGGGGAGTATGTCACGGTTCAGAACTGTTCACTATTTAGGGGAGAGGATGCGTAAGCGGCCGGATAGCTCAGTCGGTAGAGCCGCGGTACGGTATTCCAAGGGTCCCGGGTTCGAGTCCCGGTCAGGCTGCACATTTTTCTCACCCTGTGACACTTTTAACAAACAACAATATCAACGATGACCGATTTTGATGATAATTACAAACATCACATTACTTGGTTCAAATCCCGACAGACTTAATTAAGAGAAAGCTACATATATGGAAGATTGATATTTTACCTAAAAGCACCGTCCGGTTAGCTTTGTTGATAGTGCGTTGGACTGTGAATTGGGCGATCCGGCTTCGATTCCTGGACGGTGCATGTCTTTCCACGGTCATTCGTACTGTCCCACTGCTCTGGCTTGTCCAGTAGTTATCAGTTCCTTGCGAAAAGGAAGGCAACTAGTACTGGAACGATACGGTGGCTGAACTGTGCTCTGGTAAATTCAATTTGGCGTGCTGTCGTGATCCGGAGTGAAAACTCCAACGCGATCAACTAAGACGCTTGCAGGACACAAAATGCAGAGGGGGCGCCTGAGATCGAGCGCAAGTAAATATTAAATGTTGCCACACGACCATTACAGTACCAACGTAAGTCAGCCAAAGAATGTATTTGTTTGATCATATTGCATTTATGGTATCGTCCACAATGACCTTATCTAGATAAAGCCGACACATTTGGACATAAATCCTTTGCTGAAAATTTACTTCAATAATTATATTATTTCATTTAAATGTAAATGGAATATTTTTTATGAAATGTCACATTTTTTTAAAGCTATCAAAATGATACCCAAAGACCTGTTAAGTCTCGCTTACATGGCAATGCTATTACCGACTTTTCGACTGCCTTAAAGTTAAGTGATTTAATGTGAAAACCCACTAAAATGACAAAAGGATTTCTTTAAAATGAGCTTGGAAGCAGGCAATATTGGTTTTGTATTGCATTTGTAGAAATAAATAAACTTATGCCAAATAAATTGACATAATGTTGACACAATACAGCTTTACCCTTGGGTTTAGCTGTGAGCATTACGGACAGGAACCTGGCAATATTTCATCCAGTATTGTAGCCATTAATGCTTACATCATGTCCCAAGTTCACTCAGGATTATTGTATAGAACTTTTCGCTAATAACTCAACTTTCAGGTGAAGATACATGACTGGTGTCAATGGACCTCACTTGCCTAAGCTTAAAGGTTGGACTACTATAATTTACTACCCCTGACAACTACTCTTGAGTTCATGCCCTGGCATATGTCCTTGTTTTCCGATCCATTGACTTTTGTTATATATTGTTATTTTATTATCATTACGTAATAGTTACCATACGAGGAATAGGTCTGCATAGACCGAGAGAGCGTAGCGATCGAGGTTTTTAAAAGGCCACCGGGTCTGTAAATACTATGCAGACCTATTCCGAGTGCGGTAACTATCTTACCTACATGCCTTTTTGATTTTTTTTATCTTTTAGCTCAGTATTTATTAAAATTACTCACAAGAAACGTATTACTTATATACTTTATCATGTTTAAGAAAACATTCCAAAGCCAAGCAAAGATACCATCCGCTACGCTCTTGTAATTCATTCGTTCACAAATCAGGTGTTATTTGAATATTCTCGTGATTTTCGTGGGGTTTCATTAGGTAATGTACTTGTTGAGTTGAGTCACAGAAAATGAAAACAGAATTTGTCGAGTAGGGAAAAGGTAAGATCATTATTTTGATATATGAATACATAACATATCAATAATATAAACAAATACTGAGGAAGATAAAAATGTTTTCTAATCATAAAAACGGAACACTTTATCTTTATATATAATAAATTTCATAGTAAATAGATGATCAGGCTATTTCTTATATAATTAAAATATACGATTTTTTTCAGACGGGGTTCTATGAATAAATATTAGTAGTACATGTAGTTACACCGTAATGTAAGTTGGGTTTTGTTGTTGTTGTTGTTGTTTTTTATGATGGCTGATTTTAAATGTTCTTAGAATTTCATCCATGTTTGGAAGTATTTTCTTTCCGTTTCTTAATTAGCATCATCCGTTATAAGACCGCATGTAAGCAGGCGGTCTAGAATGGAATTGCAAGTCGTTTTCATACAAAATCCAAATTGTAATGTTAATATAACTGGGAAAAAATGAGAAAAACGGTCTTATACTTAAGATGAACTATACTCTCACTGAAAGTAATATTTTGGGAAAGTTGACTTTGATTCGATATGCACCAATACTATAATCGTCGTATATATCCTATAATGCAGAATTGTTAAAATAATGCAGGATTGTGGAAATTCAGACATAGTTGTGGAAATAAATACCGAAAACTAGTATCTTATGAAGCTATATAGTTCGGCAAATGTGTTAGGTATACCGAAAAGCAAACTTTAAAAAAGGCTTAATGTGCGTTGTTATACTCATTAATATCGGCGAAACACAAAACTTCACAAACCCTTTTTCCTATTCAAAGTGGTCATTAACCCCCCCCCCACACACACACACAATTCAGCGTTATTTTACGGTGAATATTGTGTACTGTAATGCACGAGTTTCTCGACTTCACATATTTTCTATTGTATAGAGAACAATAGAACAATAACCGGTCGGTATCTATTTGCAGACTTGTTAACCGGTCGGTAAGTGATTTACTAGACTTCTTTTAACAAAGGAGCCGGTAGGTAATTATATATATTGTTTTTATACATATATATAAACATGTATTTGAAGGTAAAAGATAAGTTTAAACCAGGATGGAAGAATTCTATTTAAATTTTTATCTTACAGTTTTCGATTCTGTAGGTAACCGAGGCATGTCTAATGTTTTAACAGCGTGGGCAAACAAAACTAATCTTAATTCATTACGATCATCCATATTGAAGTGTGCAGACATGTTTCGGAGAATTCTTATGCTCGCTTTCTTTTCTTACAGCCATTGTTTTTTGGAGGACCCGTTGTCTATACAACAACGGTTTACTGCTCTGGAGGCTCGAGTCAAACAGTTGGAGGCATATACAGCTAGTAAGTATTCATTTCTATCGAAATTATTTTAAATCGCAAAGTCATCTTTTGAAGTTCTAGAAACTAAAAGATTTCATTTATTTATACGGAAATGGTTGATTGTCAGACAATAGTAAAGTAACTTGCAAAACGCTTTTATAAGACCATTCATTCGTTCGTTCGCTCGCTCGTTCACTCGTTCACTCACTCATTGTTTTTTTATTCTTCATTTATTCATGAAACATACTAAAGATGGCCCTCATGAGTGCGACAGTCTTGCTTTGTTTTACCATTATGATAAATTTAATAAAATTTACATTGGATATTTTTTTTTGTACATTGCAAATATCGTTTGTATAATTTCAGAGTGCCCTTGCGTTGATGCAGTCGGTTTTAATGTACAGCTGACGCACAACATATCTCCTATGGGCCGATATCAACATATAATTTTCGACAATGAATTAACAAATATAGGTAACGGCTATGACAAATTAAGCGGGCAGTTCACAGCTCCTTACCATGGACTTTATACCTTTGCTGTCAGTTTCACAAAAGGTGGAGACCATAACCTAAGCGTACAGATAGTTAAAAATGGAGCCACAATTTCACAAGGACTTACTTATACAGAAGATGTCTACGATACAGCTACAGTGACAGCTACTGTCGAGCTTACTAAAGGAGATAGAGTTTGGGTAGAAAACGGATACCCCGTGGATGATGTCGAAGATATACACGGACAGTGGACATTTTTCTCGGGTCATTTAGTAATGTCGATGCCAAACTAAACTTCGCGGCTTATTTCCAGAGTGTACACAATTCAAATCCAAATATATATGAAGAATATTTTGTTCGAATAGATGTAGGTGTAGGGAATCTTACTTCTTCTAAAATGGTGTAAAAATTCCGCGCGATACGACAATAAAGATTGATCCTGCATATTGTATACTGTTTTAATGCTCCTCGAAGATTAACGATGATTTGTTGCAGTTCTCGGTTTGTATTATATCGTTGTCCTTCCCATTGGCATTTGGCTTATATGTGTTATCAACAATGATAAAATTGTCGTAAATTAACATCCCTTAATAACACAAAATATAAATGATTATGGAACATGTATTGCCACGCCCCGCAAGAAAAAAATATTGATATAAATAAACTCAAGTCATCGGGTAAAATACAAAATGTTTCAATTGTCAAATTAAGACAATAATTAAACAGGGTAGCAGTATCGTATCATGACTTTAAAACCTGAACATCTACTCTTCGTTACCAAAACAAAATGGCCAAAGCGCTCTCTATGTATCTTTTTCCATCAATGCCATGGATACATTCGTCTTTGGCAGACTGACTTCACAATTCACAAGGATAATTTGCAATTAATGGCATGGCACCACACCAAATCTTAGGACTGTAGACCGGTGTGTTCTTTAGTTATTGGTGAAGAGAAGGTCACAGACAGTGATCTTTACATTTGACAGACTGACACCAAAAGGAGTTGCATTTCGAACAATAGACATAACAAATCTTAGGATTGTAGGCCAAAATATTATATCAAAGCGTTAGTTATGGTCTGATAAGCATTTTTATTATCAAATTCACCGTGTCCGTTGTCTCTCTGACCCCAAAATCAATAGCATTTAGTAGACATGACCAGTCTACAGAGAATATATCATAGCCTTTTCTAGTTATTGGTTGGACAAGCGTTAAGTGGTCAAGGGCCTCTATGAAAAAATAACCTTAACTTATTAGGAGTCATCTGTTGTCATATTAAATCTAGAGCGTTCTCTAGTTATTGGTCCAATACAATATTTTGATTGTCAAAAGTCCGAAAAAGATAGGGTTCATCAACTAGTCATATCCAACCTACAAAACAAATCTTAAGATTGAGTCTATTCTCTAGGCGACATCTTGACTTTGAACCTTGACCTTTAACAAAATGAATTCAAAATTAATATTGGTCATGAACAAGTTATGACCATGCTCTCACCAAATCTTTGAGAACATGTATAAGCATAAGCCTTCTCTATTGCTTGGTCCCGTAAACCTTTTGACCGTCCATTCCAAAAATCTATAGGGGACATCTACTTGAAATGACCAACTTCCGCACAAAATCTCAGGATTGTAGGCTAAAGCGTCTTGTACTTATTGGTCGGACAAGCTTCCTTTGACATGGCCAACTTGAACTTTGACCGAATTACTGATCACAAAAACATTATGGGTCATCTTGTTATCATTACTAAATTCCACAAAGTCATGTCCAACCTACAACACAAATCTTAAGATTGAGTCTATTCATTGGTGTGACAAGCTTTGTATTGTCTAGGCAACACCTTGACTTTGATTTTTAACAAAAAACCTTGACTTTCAACAAAATGAATTCAAAATTAATATTGGTCATGTACAAGCTATGACCATGCTCTCACCAAATCTTTGACTACATGTATAAGCATAAGCCTTCTCTATTTGTTGGTCACATAACCCATTTGATCGTCCATTCCTAAATATATAGGGGTCATCTACTTGAAGTGACCAACTTCCGCACAGAATCTTAGGACTGTAGGCAAAAGCATCCTGTAGCTATGGGTCAGACAAGCTTCTTTTGACACGGCCAACTTGGGAGCAATGTGTATCGTCAAATCTTACAAAATTATATAACCCCCCTATTCATCATTAGGAAAAAGTGGCAGACATTGATACATAAGAATTTGTATGTCATTTTAAATCAGATCATTGTGAAAATAATCTAGGTACCAGATGTGTATTTTAGCCTTAACTAGAAATATTTATGATTTTTTCCATATGTATATGCCACTGTTTTAACGTGCAAGATATTTGTATTAATAGCTTTGTATTTTGAAGATATGAACATATTTTTCAATCAAAAATCTATTTCAATCAAGAGGACTTGCTCGATTAACATATTTTTTTTTGTGAAAACGGACATTTTTTGTATGAATGAAATGTAACTATTTATCTAAGAATGTTTTTAAATTGCGTTTATTTCATGCAAGGAATGAAATTACTTTTGCATGCTCTCTTCCCATTGGAGAGTGGAAGTTGTACATACATAGTAGAGATTTTTTTTTTTCATACAGCATGCACAGGTAATAAGTCTGTTTAAAGATTTTCACAAAAAATATTTGGGTGTTTTGGTCTATGTTGCAGGTAAATTTTGACAAGAATATGTGTCCATATCTTCAAAATGGAAATGAAAATCAAAGAAAACCCATGTCATTATTATAATTTGAATTATTATCATAATATTTACATTTAGTCATACACAGTAAAACTGTGTTGTTTTTTTCTAACTATATATTTTTGACCCATCTTTTTTTTTAAAGAATTGAACAAAAACACAAAACTATTTTTTATAAAATTGCCTTTTAATATTATAATATATTTCTGTATCACTGTTATTTTTATGTCAACTGTTTCACCTAACTTCGCCTTGGTAGAATATTCAATACAGGTTTGAATAAAAAACATAATCAGGTTATAAACGCAAAAATTTCTTTAATTACCATTTTTTTTAGCATATTTTCGTAACAATCGGGCAAATTTAACATTTGTTTCGGAAAGAAATTCAAAAAAATTTCAATCCCAAAACCAACCCTCGCAATTTGCACCATTTTTTCATCTTGTAGATTTTTGTTCCATGGTCATTTATAAAGTATTTATCCTGGTATATTTTCTCCATAGATCTGACCACACCGCCCCCCATTTTTAAATCCAGATTTTATATCATTTTAATCATTCAGTGTATTATTTGTACATAATTTTACTGTAGTAATAAACAAAAGTAGACAAGTTTTTTATCTTTTTTTAGTTCATTCTGTATTGCCGTATTTATTTTATGGAAATAGAGAATTGCGGAAATTAACGATTATTTAATAATATAGTCTAATGTTTGCATGTTAAAAATTCTAAAAAACATTTAACAGTAAAAATCATCTTTGGCTAATATTTGAAACTAAATCATTCCATCAATCGTATATTTGTTTGAAATAAAGGGTTGTACATGCCATTTTTATATTTTATGTTTTATTTTGTACAGTGCATGAAATTTTACAAATTTTGTTAACAACTTTTTTCTCATTCTCTGCAAACTTTCTTACTTCATAATTTTTGTTCATATCTCCTCTTTTGGATAAATAATGGGAAAAATAGTGCATTAAAATAGGAAAAATGCCCAATCATATGTTTTATGTTAAAAAGTCTTTATTTTTAAAAGTGGGAAATTAAAAAAAAATCAAAAAAGATTTTATTTTTCCCTTTTTTTTTTATTTTTCAAAAAATGCAAACCCCCTCGTTTAAAACCCCATTTTTGGTAACCATGGGTATTTAAAAACTAAGGGAAAAACCCTAGCACAATTTTCCCCTTTTCCCTTTGAAAAATTTTTAAGGGTTTGAAATTTTTCCCAAATTCAATTTAAATTTTATAAAAAAGGGTTTTTTTTGTTTACCACAAACTGTTTATCGGGTTTCATTTAGAAAACTATTCCTGAATACCTTCAAACTAGTTTCTAAAAACTAGTTTCTAATAAAGTAAAAGGTCAAAATGAATAGATACTATAAGTTAAAATACTTTCTGAGTATTAGAACTTAAAAAATATTTCACCTTCTGACCAACTTTCAGGATTCCCTCTGGGTCAAAATTAGTTTGCGCCACCAAATTCACAAAAGTCTTTGTTTAAATCAGAGGGCTTATATGATTCCCTTATTTGAGCAGGAATACTCCTGGTTACAAAGTTGTTTTTTTGTCCTTGCACGTTATTAAGGGAGATATAGTTTTCTACTGTATGAGCATGATATTTTATATTTTAAAAAAGCCAGTTATATTTTTATAAATTCATGATTTGAGCCACGTCAAGACAAAACCAACATAATGGGTTTGCGACCAGCATGGATCCAGACCAGCCTGCGCATCCACACAGTCTGATCAGGATCCATGCTGTTCGCCTATCAATTTCTCTACTTGTTTATAGGGTTTGTAAGCGAACAGCATGGATCCTGATCAGACTGCGCGGATGCGCAGGCTGGTCTGGATTCCATGCTGGTCGCCAGACCCATTATGTTGGTTTTGTCGTGACACGGCTCATTTTATAATCATTTCGTTTAAGACGGTATGTCTAGTCTTAATTTGTGTTTATTGTAACATTCAGGACTTGTGTTGAAAGTTTTGTTTGCTGTACATTCATTCAGTGTATGACAATAATTTTCTTAGTTAGCTAATCAGCAATTTCTGTCTTTATTTTTATATATGAACTGTAGTCATAAATTTCTTCTGGAATAATAAAAAAGAAATGAATTTTGTACTTTGTCACTTTAAATTAAAATACTGGCCGTCACGATAGCCAACCCTTAAAATGAAATTCAACCCAACATAACGATTTTAGCAAAGCTAAACTGTTTGGAATTATTAAATACCAAATTTGATGTCCTAGTATAGGGTAGCATATAGGTTTTGAACAGTGCGTCTGCCTGTCTGTCTGTCGCGAGCCATAATTTTGTTATTGTGTTTGGGTTTTGAAATGTGTAGCGCTTTGAGACGATGTGTGGATCCTCGAAGGTTACTCTTTAACTTGTAAGGAATTTTTCATCAAGGTCAACTCGATGACAGATTTTGATGATAATTACATACATCATATTACTTGGTTCAAATCCCGACATATTTAATTAAGAGAAAGCTACATATATGAAAATTGATATTGTACCTAAAAGCACCGTCCGGTTAGCTCTATTGATAGTGCGTTGGACTGTGAATTGGGCGATCCGGCTTCGATTCCTGGACGGTACATGCCATTTTCTACGGTCATTCGCGCTGTCCCACTGCTCTGGCTTGTTCAGTAGTTATCAGTTCCTTGCGAAAAGGAAGGCAACTAGTACTGAAACGATGCGGTGGCTGAACTGTGCTCTGGTAAATCCAATTTGGCATA